TAGCGTATAGGATATTGCTACTCGAAGTCAATCAAAATGCTTCAATCGTGCGCAATACAATCCGATTCTTTAATAGTCAGAGTACAGGTTATGTTGTAAATTTAAAATACTGTTACAAACTTATGTGTTGCGAATAAATAAAAGTGTTGGTATTGCCAATATTTATCTTTACAATGATGCTCGTTTCTGACTGCATTGAACGTTCTTGGAGAAATAACTGGATAAAATCAATATTGATTCACGAATTTCACAGAGGTAATTAATGACTCTGAAGAAAAATCAAATCTCACTAGATATCAATTGATTCTTAACTGAATATAATGCTAAATAACATTATGACCTTTCTATCTATGAGTTCAGAATATATTATATCTTCTTGTACAAGGAACTGATGTGAGTTTACATACAACTTCTGAGGTATAATGGACTATGATTTCATCATCTAACTCTCATATAACGTATACTCTTATATCTGAGACGAATTAATCCCATTCAAAAGGCTTCATAATTTAAGTGAAACAGAATCCTTGTTTTCTTAACTATAAACCAAGGATATACAAAATTAAGTAAATTAAGTATATTAATATTTTACCGTAAAATCTTCAAAGTCAATAATTGTTTCTAATTATTATATTGTAAAATTAATTTTTTTATAAAAGAAAGATTATGTCATTCTTTTTAATAATTTTCTCAAAAATACTCGATCGGATTATAAAATCGAATGATGAAGAAGAATAAATTAATTTATTGCATAATTAATGCATGTGTTAACGAAATCAACTTCATTATAAGATAATTAATTATTTATAATGTGAAGTATCTTACCATACCTGCTATTTAGAAAATTAAAAAAAATAAAAGAAGCATTAAAGATTCAAAATGAATATAAAGTTGTTCTAAAATAAAACGATCTAATTGCGTAAAATATGTAATTTTATTGTCCCGTTGAAAGTAATATAAGAGAGAGAATTTTTTATACAAATAATATATTTTATCCATTGTGCTTTTGATATATTCCATATTTCAGATTTTGGACACTCTTTAATCGCACTTTATACATTCATGGCGTACATTTATAACAAATTTTTTTATTAAAATGCTATACAATCATATTTATAACAATATGTTCATTTTCCAGATTTCCAGATTGTTAATTTATGTCCAAATGCCAGGCGTGCAAACATTAACGCCTGTTGAAAGTTAAGGTTTATGACACGGGCAAGGTTATTTTTGAGAAAAACGTTAATCAATACTTTCTATTATAGAGGACCATTCGAGTCAAGGCCTAGAAATAATACTTTACAGACGTAAAGCATAATGTTTCCTTCAATTACAATCAATATGTCATAAATTTATACAGATAATTCATAGATAGGATAGCTACTTGTCCTTGAACCTTATCCCTTTAATTATCCGTTTTGTCTCCAATTAAATCCAATTTATATCGAAACACATTGCTTACATATAATTCGCGTGCACTGTCCATCAGCAATCGAGCAATGCCGCCGGATCATATGTGCAGACTATACACGGAACATTAATATATTCGTGGGATACTTTTGAAATATCAATTCTAAAGGTCAAGCATACAAATACAAAAGTTGATTATATAAAAATAGATTTATTTAATTTTAATTAAGGTTTACTTATTGAGTTGTAAGTTGATTTAAATTAGATAAAGCGAAATGTGTATTGTTTGTCATTGTAAGAAACGAAACTCGAACCAATATTTATTTGCAGACTGCAAAATTCACATTTAATATCATATCGTATACAAATTATAGGCAATTGTTATTTTGTAAATCGTTTTAAAATATGATCATATCAGTAGAATCCAAAACGAAATTACGAATCGTTGATGTTCTAGACAAAACAATGGCTTGTGCGTGCTATCTTTAATTTATCTTAAAAAACGATTTAGAAATTTGAAATTATACAAATATCATATTGCAGAAAGAAAAAAAACTTGTTATTGAATGTCGTATCGTTCCATTGATTTTCACAGTACAGAGGAGAGTCAGAGAGATACTAAAGCGACATAGCAACTCATTCACAAAATCAATGCGCAATGTCACGCAATTAAATCGATAAGATAAAATTTTATAATTTAATTAATGTGACATTAACAGTGGGCATAACTGTCTTCCTTTTCAATAACTTCAATTATTCTATTTGTATAGATTTCATATTAAGAGATCAATTGCTGCATTCTATTACAATTGATTCTTTTTATCCCTTCGTTATTTTCATATTGCTTTCCTTTTCTCTATACAGCATGTGTAAGCTTTTCTCAGAAATTTTATATCAATGCATCTATTTAATATTGTTTCAATGATCAACAACATTGTAATGTTGAAAAATAAGTTTATCTTTGCTTATCTGTTCTCATTAATTTGATCTTCGATTGAATTGAAATATTTCTTTCTATTTATTTCCTTTTCGATGAGTAAATTTATTTTTTCTTCCTATTCGATTCCAAACTATCATTATTTTCTTCTTCTCCATTTTTATAAATCATAGTAATAACAAGCAAATTGGACCATCGATATATTCAATTTTTCCTCATCAATAAAGAGGACTTGTTTTCATTCCTTCTTCCAATGCACATGGAACATCGATTGTCACGATCATTGAACGGAAACCACATTCACTGCATTCCGGCAATGTGTAGTGCGGCATAATTGCACGTGTTGCGGATAAACAAATAATGATCTACACTATCATAATCTGATCGACATTCTAGAAAGATTGTTGGTTCGTATACTTCCGCTTTCTTCGAACTATTTATAAAACGATACGGAAACACGAGATTCATAATCAGATACGGATAGATATGAATCGTATCAGGTATGAATGAAATATTACGAAGCATGATTACAAACATAAGCAGATCACATTATAAAACTATCATTTAAGCTATCATTTAAGCGTTTATTAAAACAAAATTTGCCAAGTTTTAAAGCAAAATGATTTTAGTTATTTTTATTTACGATTCGTATAGAAAATTTCAATAAAAAATCTTATAGTATGTAAATTTTCAGAATTTTTATATTTCTTTTTGTATTTCATATTCATTTATATCTATTCTTAATTAAATACCTTATGAATTTCTGAGTAGTAAAATTATTAGACATTAAATTTATTATTAGATAAAAACAATCATACGACAATCAACAATTTTGATTTTTTTGTTCTATCCAACTTTTTAAATTTTTATTTAATTCATGCGTTTTTTTTTATGAATACGTTAAAATCAAATTCTGATGAAAATGATTATATTATATATGTTCCATTCTTCAGAAATTCATATTTCATAAATTTATCCCATAAACATTTTGAATTTAACCGTTAAAATGTTAATTCGTTTCAAAAACAGCTTTATTCTCAGATGCTTGAACATTTAACTTTTATTTAACTTAACATTTAATCTTTAAAATTTATATTTCTTTCTTTGATTGTACAAAAATTATGTTATTTTTGGTTATCAAGATATTTTGTTATATAACAACACGTGATTCTATTTACCTTTATATTACATACTAACGTGTATTAAAAATAATAACAAAAATTAAAAAACTTTAAATGTATGAAATTATTTCATATAACAAATATTCTTCTCTTAACTATAAAAACTTCAAACAATTTTTTTATAACTTATGTCATTTCAAAAATATCGTATCCATTTTATAATTTATGTATTTATGCATATATATATATATATATATATATATATGTATATAATACTATTGAAAGTTTTAATTTTTCTATGTTATAAATTATAAATATAAATTATAATAAAAGGTATTCTAATAATAGCAAATATAAATATTTGATAACAAATTTTTATCTAATATTTCATATTTAATATTTTATTATGTTATATTATTTTTTAGTTTTAAAGAAAAAATAAATATATAATCTATAATCTAATTTATAAAAAAATATCAAAATCACTATGTATGGTATGCATATGGATTCATATGTATTGTTCAAAATGCATATGTTTAATATACATCTGTCATTTCTCTATATTTGCTATTACATTAAGAAATATAAATATTATAATATTTAAAAATATTGAAAATTATCAAATAGAATATTTTCAAAATCTATTTTAGATATATAATTCTATAAAGTTATTTATTTCTAGATAAATATATTTTTCGTTCAAAATTACATATATCCAAAAAATAAAACAAAAATTCAACTATCTAGTGCTCATAGTTAGTACCGAAGATATAATTATCAAATATCAAATTGCAATATTTTAATATTCTTATTCTTATACGCACGTGGCTTGCAACACTAAGCCATTAAACTTGTTGTATATGTGCATACATATATACATACGTATACAAATTAGATACACATAACACACGATAAATACTACGAAAAAAACATTAATTTATCATATTGAAATTAAATTGAAATAATGTTAATAAATATATTAATTAATAAAAATATAATTTTAAAATATTATAAATAATAAATTTCAATTTATCATTATTCCAGGTTTAACGAATTGTTAATTGATAAAAAAAGCATTTTCATTTTATTATATTCAAAATTCAAGTTATTAAATTTTTAAATTATTAATCTATATTCAATATAAAATATAATTGATGATTATTTATAACATTTAATAATAATAATATACAAATATGAAACATTAAATTCATACTGATTATTATAGAAATATCAATTCAAATCATTAAATAGTACAATTAGCATTAAAAAGAAAATTTTGGATAAACTAACAATTGTAGTGATTACTTTCTGGAATCGATCGAAATGCTTATTTCGTTTGAATCAAAGTACAGACATTCATGCAAAATTCTTTTGGCTAACATGTAGATATTTAGGCATTCACAAGCCGGTAAACTCTCAACTTGTTTGAAGCTGAGCGATCGTTACCGGCAGCAAGAAGGAAAAGGGGTAAAAGCGCGTGTACAAGCGTCATCAATAGTTTATCGCGTGTAGTGACTAAATGAGTATCTCACCTGAAAGTCACAGTGGATAATTTCGGCGTCGTCTAGAAGTCGAATAGTGGCGCGATGCACCACCGTAACGTCACTTTTACTACCAAATTTCAACATTTCTGCCCTCAAGTCGCCACCCGAATTATCCCCCCGACCCTCATCGTCTCCTGCCCCACAGCACCACACACTGCCAGCTAATTATTTTCGATTCACGTTGTCGTTATCGTAAATAACTGTAACTGTCGCTGACACGCGACTTGTCAGTAAATTTTCCGTCAAGTTGATACAACGCACGATGACACTACACAACGAACGACACATCACAGTAGTATGTAGAATACCAAACTTTCTGTCAACCGGTCTCGTCTTCTGACCTACAGTTACAACGATGCCATGTTTTCAACTCACGTAACAAACCCAATGTTGCCGTTCAGAGATACAGCAATTGTGTAATATGATTGGTCCATGATTCGACTGTAGCGGGTATTTTAAAAATGAAATTTCAAATGTCATCAAGTTCTTCCAATTATATTTACAGATAGCATAATAAAAATGTAAAATTATTTTACTCGTTTTATTCATGTAGAAATTAAATAACATTGTATCTTAGAATAAAATATTATTTTTTTATTAAATAGCTATTTTAAAATAATTACTTATACGAAACGTTTTAATCATTGTATTGATCAAAAATATCAATTGTAAACTATTCAAATTTAATATTGTTGTCAATTTTTATTTAAAAATTAAATGAAAAAATAAAATAAATACAGAAAGCAATATAAAATATATCGTGTTTATATAATATTAGTTATAAATAAATTTAATCTTTGTCAAAAAATATTAATATTAAATATAAAAATTTTTTTTAAAATTATATTTTTATCATCAAATATTATTATTATCGAAGTAAATATTGCTTTCATATAAAGTTATAAGAACAACCTACAGATGTCACTCAACGATGAATGACTTGTATATTAAAGTAGTAAATCGAAATATGGTGGGGGTAAACTAGGGGCATTGAACAAAGGTTGACTGCGTTGGTCGAGGAGTCGGCGGCGCATTCACGACTCAAACATGGCAGCGGCTACCAGCGTTGTCGTGCTCGACAGGGGCAACAATACCACCTGCACGATTAATTTACACGGTGTGTGCGCGCGTGCAGATTGATACAAACAATTAGATCTGCGAGTTGTCTATCAAGTTTTATTATAATTATTTTAATATAACGTGTAAACACATAATATTAATTCACACGTATATACACACACACGTATCTTTAACGAATCATCTTTATCTCGAAAAGCTATGTTCCACATCATCATGAGGTGTTGCTAAAAGAATTAAAAAAAAAATGATATCGTGAGAAAAAAGTTTAAAAAAATATATGCCATAATATATATATATATACATATATATATATATATATATATATATATTGACAATATCG